ATAGGTTAATTATGAAAAAAATTTCCAGAGTAAATTTAGAATTTTTCTTAGAATTAATTTAAATAGATTTATTTTGCTGTTAAATATAGAAACTCTTTTTACTCAAAGAAGGCAGTTACCAATTTACATATTTTTGTGTTCAGTTTTCTTGAACACAAATTTGTCTAAGATCAACTTTACCCTGAAGTTGACATTTTTATAGTTCGTATGTATTTTTATGATTTCTGCTTTAGCCTTTTAGTCTTTAGTGAATAACTCTAAAAATTGAAGTGTTCATTGTCTTTAATTTGTTTTACTGTTTTATCTTATATGTTAACACAGGCTGGTTTCACTATCTATTGCTTATTTATTTTTTAACAGGTACTTATCTTTTACACCTAGTGAAGCAGCTTCCCAATTACTTTTTAAGATGATCTCTCTTCCAAAATGATGAAGAGAAAAATATGTTCATAAATCTCTAAATCTTAGAATTTGACTAGATGTCTTGGAGTATGTTTTCACCTCCATGGGTTAGATGTTTAGTTCTTAAACATACTCATTCACATTACAGCTTGCCTTATAGGAAATTGGATTCCATGACTACATAGTCTCATAATGCTCTGCAATTTTAGTTCTAGGCTTTCTTTTCTTACTTAGGTATTTTTAGGATATGTCCCATTTGACACATAAAAAAATTGTGTTTTAAAAGTAATCTCCTTTCCCTCTGTAATCAATGCAGAATATACATCGTGGCTATCTTTAAGGTATTTTTTTTAATTTCATTAAAAAAATTTTTTTGGGCCCTCCCTGGTGGCGCAGCGGGTTAAAGCACAGCACTGAGAAGCTAAAGCCGCTTCCGCATGAGTTCGATTCCCGCCTGCCCCGGAGGAGACCACATGGCGTGGCAGACCTCTCCTGACCCTCCCGCTGCTCCCCTCAGCAGTGTACTTCGTTGATCTGCCTGTTCTGTTCCCCACTCTGTCTCTGGTGAAGCCTCTCACCGCCCCTGAGCCTCTGGCCTGTACCCCAGTTCTGTATGCACAAATAAATAAATCTTTAAAAAAAAAAAATTTTTTTTTTTGGCAAGATGTCTTAATTGAAAATCTAAAATTATATGTTCTTTAAATAATCTGGTTTTCTTACTAATCTAAATCTTGAAGCTAGTAGAAAATTTGTTCTAATTTAAATTTTGCATCTTTGTGAGATAATATTTGAAATTTCTGTTGACCATAGTAAAAAATAAAACATGGTGCGAGATCCTATACTTCTAGTTCACAATGATGTAAGTCAGTGTTAACTACAATAAAAAATAAAAAAAGATTCTAGAAGCTGATCCCCAAAAGAGATCCATGATAAGTGATTCATGAAAGTAATACTTTTCATAAAGTTTTTACTTTGGATTAGAAATTTAAACTTTTTAGTGTCTACTCTAGATAACCACTTTGACAAAATTCCTTTTCTTTTTGTTTCTTGATCTTAGACTTCATTCAGGTGTGAAATACCTACTGACTCTAACACAGTATGCCAAGCACTGTCTTAGGGGCTGGGATACAGAGACCCGTTGCTTTTGTTAAGGATGAGCTTTCCTTTTCCTTTCAATGCCAGCTAACTGTTCAGGACACTGGGTGGAATTTGTGAAAATTCTTTTTCTTTATAGAAGTGCCTCAGAATCTTTAAGAATATGTGATAAAAGAGTAACAAAAAGATATTTCATTATGCTTCCTATAGTCTTTGTTTTATGATTAATATAAAATCTAAATTATCAAGTTTTAAAACCTCAGGTCAGTTCAGTACAACTGAATAGAAATCATAGCCCTAATGGAAACTGTTGCTTTTTATTTATTAAAAATGTTGAGATGTGGCTTTCCAGCTTTGGTTTAAAACTGTTTAAAGCAAATACACGGTATATTTTATAATTTGGGAACAATATTAATATCGCTAATAGTCTAACTTTACATTTCATGGCAAGTTTTTCAGTGACAATTATATATAAAATACTTAGAATGCTGGCTTATGATTTTTAGTAAGAATCTTTAAAAAGTATTTATAGCAAAAGGTTAAAATTTTTGATTTCTTGGTAAATTAATAGACCATATATTGGCTATTTGAGTTCTTGTACTTCTGCATTGCTGACTTTGTTAGCTTTGGTTTGGCATTTATTCTTTAGTATTGAAATGCAAATCATGTAGAGGAGTGCTTTTTCCCTCCTCCTCTAGCTGCCCCCTTCCCCCTTGTTCAAATATCACATAGAAGAATATTGTCTATTAGAGTTAGGAAAGGTCCTGTTGTGCCATTCTTAGGTGCTTCCATCACTAGAAGTCTTGCTTTTTCTTGCTTGAGTAATGATCTCATTTGGAAAGGCCCTTTACATTTTTTCATATAGATTAATAAGTCCACGGTCTTCACAAATTATTAACCCATGAACCATCAGCTCTCCACAGCAGTTGAAAATGATTTTTATTTTGGAAATGTATGTTTATTTTTGGGGATGAATATGTTGAATCCACAAGTTTTGGTTCTTCGATGGGAGTGCTGTCCTGAAAGTAATCTGACTTGGAAGCAGTTCTAAGTGGATTTACTTCTTCAGCTATCTTGTATTTAACTTTTCCTGTAATGTAGATTAAGGACTTTTGGTTTTTAAATCTGAGTTTGTTGTCTCTTTAATTTATATATTCTGTAGGTTGTAGTGAATAAATCAAGGTTTGGGGGATATTTTAAGTTCAACCTCCTACTGAAGGAGAAATTATAAGTTTAGCCCACTATTAATCAGAGCAGGAGATGATTTCTTGGGAATTAAGTTTTAATTTTCAACATGAAGTGGACCTATAAAATGTAAAATAAAAATTACTAGGTATACTTCCTGTTTGACAATGGAATGCTCCCTTTTTCACTATATTCTTAATCCTTTAAGTATATTTTTGCTACTGATTAGTATTCAAGAAATGAAGGAAAACTGGACCATTTGGAAAATTATAGTTTCTGAATGAAAGTAACTTTTACTTAGTTCTCACTAATTTGGAGGTTGTTCTTAATTGTTATGGTTTGTGTTGCAATACTTTTAGTCATGAAAAAGAACATCATGTCTTACTTGTCAAGGAAATTGATTAGAACAGGAGAGAGGATGATTGCTTACAATGAAAACCCAAATAAGGTAGTTCTGATGTATGAACTTTAAGCTGTTCTCATCTGTTGAATAGACACCTCTTAAGAGCTCTCGCTGTGGAATACTTTGTTAGTCTATTTCAGATTTTTAGATCCTGGAAAATACCTATTTATTAGATTGTATTTCCTAAGATACTCAGTATTCAAATCTTTTTCTAACTTGTTCTCCTTTTGTCATCCTTTATATATCTCCTCAATGTGATTATTGCAAAGTACTTTTTAAAGCTACTTCTCTACAAAGTATAGTCTCTTCAAAATCAAAAAGCTTTAGGATTTAAAATCTCTAGAAGCTTAAGATGAAATAGATGCTGCATAGGTTCAGAAGACGCTCACCATTTTTTATTTGATACCTCTGACTATATATGGCAGTTTTATTTTTTTCCATTTCTTTAATTTTTGGAAATTATAAATTCAGTGATTAAATTTATAGGTTTTCTTTTTTAGTGCAAACTGTTTTCATTTGTACAGAAATGAATATATTCCTAAAGCAGAAGGATTAGCTTATTCTTTCATCTTTGGGCTTTAAAATTTTTTAGTCTAAATGTTGTTAGGTAATGGAATAACCATTCCTTTTCAGCTGTTGGTATATTTCCAAACTGGCGGGCAGAGCCAGGAGGAAGTGAAGGCATTAAAACACTAACTTTGGTTGGTTGCTACCTTCTTAGTGCTGAGACTATAACCTTTGTTGGTTGATTGATAGAGAACATGAGAGCACAATCCTCGTTCCACTAACAGGTAAGGAACCCTTGTGATGATTAGTTGATGAGACAGAGGTTACTTGATAGCATTTTACCCCACTATTTATTCCAAAATATAGCATGTCTCTGAAATAGGTAGTGTGACTGTTTTCCATATAGCAACACCTTCCTGTTTAGAAGACTATCTGAAATTTAATAGGGATGTATCACTCTGTACCACAAAATATAATTGATCTGTTTTCCATTGTTAATATTTATCCTGCAGTCCCTATAACTTTAAGTATAATATTTGCCTATCTTATTCTCTCAGCTTTTCCTTGATCAGGTGCTATATACTTTGAACTTCTTCCTTATTTACCTTACTCCTTTATTAAAGCAGACTTTTCTAGTATCTTTATCATCTATGATTTGAATATATCTTAGTATTGTAATTTCTGCTTTTTAGCCATTAATGATTATTTCCTGGTCCTTCTTGACCCCAAGCCCAAATGATCATACACTTAAAAGAAGATTTTGAAACTGTATCACCTATATCCATTATTCTGCCCTCTCCCTTTTAAAGATAGGTGCTTTAAGAATTCTTTTGCAGTGACATTAGTCATAGCTGTTGATAATTTTATCAGTTCAGGTATAACTTTTGTATTGCCATAATAGAGGACTATGGTCTGATTAATTCTTTATAGAAGACTTAAAACTGATAACAAATTCAGCTTCTTAGACAATCCATGGGTTTAGTAGTATTCCTGTTAATAAGCTGGATTCTATTTCTACTTTTCACTCCATCTCTTCTCTTTGACAGAAGAATTAACTGGGACTCCTCCTTTGGTATATCTGAGGTCGAGTGCCTTTCCCTGTCCCTTTAATACAACTATGATCTTATTTCCAGTCATAATTTAATCATTTTTGATTGAGTCTTCCACTCAGAGTTGAGTGGTTTGTCATAGAGTATTTTATGGCTTAGACCAAAATAGGTCCCTTCTTAATAGTTACTGAGGAACTAATCATTTGTGGTGACAGACATCTAAAATTCAAATGAAGAAGACAAAAGACTTAATATGCCCAAAGGTAGTTCCTTTTTATCCTGAGGATAAGTCATTACAAACTCAAATGATGAGAGAATGTAATTTCTTAATAAGAATTTTTTCCTAAATCTATATTCAGCTCTCTATTTCAGTGCTTCTCTCCTACCAGAGGTGCAAGGAGTGATCCTAGAACCACAGATCAGCCAAGACCACGGAGAGCTTTTGACGTCAGGGGTCCACTTTCTCCACTGAACCCTTGGAGGCAGAATATCCAGCTTCTGGAGAGAGTGGGAAAGGATAATAAACAAGTGGGTGCTTTCCATTATTTACTTGGGTTTATTTATAGATTGGAGTGTCCTTCCATTGCCCATTACTCTATTGGTATACTCCTTGGGTTCATGTAAGAACCAAGTGGGGCTGCAGTCTGTTTGTTTTTCTAAGAATGGTAACTAGTGCCCATTCAAAAAAGAGACAAATTTATGTAATTTTCTCTCCAGATAATTAAAACAGTGGATGATTTTGGGCACTGTATTTAATGAATTCCTGTCTAATCCACAGGAATTTAAAAATTTGCTCATTTTCACCTTTAATGGTATTTAAGTGGGCTTTCTAAGTACTCTTTTATATTTTAGTAAATAAGTTTCTGTATTTCATCTTTGGGCAAGCTGGACATCTGAACTCTCCTAATTTGTACAGTTGGATGTCCAGGTTTTATCTACCCTTTTAGTGAGAACTTTTTGGTCTTCTCCTACCTCAAACTTTAGGACATCATATTAATTAGATCTTTGAGGAGATGCAATGATCATACCATTATGGTTTTACTGTCAAACCTAGGCTTCATTCTTTAATAAGATAAATATGAATGAATAAGTTTCAGGATATAATCTATCCCTGAAAGCTATATTAAATATTCGAGAAAAAAGTAGTTTTCTAGACCCTAGGAATAATGTTATTTGTGGCAAAAGAGCCTTGTCCTAGATTCTCCCCATGGCATTAAGATGGTTTTCTTGTAGTTTCTTTGATGCCACGGGTAGGATTTGATTCCAGGAAGTTCTTATCATCTACAGTGGGTAGAACGTGAACTTGGTGCTTTTGGCAAGTTTTCATTTTTCCTTGGTGGATTCCTTCTGTGACTCCTGGTATCTTGATAATGGGAGACCGGTTTATTTGTTCTCTAATTGCCCAGATTTCTTTCAACTGGTAAACATCATACTTCTTCAGCAAAAGAAATCTTCTAGCAGAGCCTTCATGGATGATATCTGTCACACACAGCACCTGCAGTTTGGAAGGCAGTGGTGAACGGAGCCATGCAATATATCTAGAAGACACCAGGATGAGAGAGCCACCTGATCTTGTCATTTATAAACTTTAAGATTTTCTCTGGTGTATTCTTGGTCTGGAGATGGAAAGGCTCAAATAAGGAGATTTCTGATTGGAATTTCACATGGCCATGAAAACACTCCTTTCTATTCAGAAGACTGAAATAGAGAAAAGCATGAGAGACTTCTCTTTTAAAAGCAGCTCTCTGAATCCGTTTCACTTGAAAAATTTCTGGAATTGAAAGTCACCTTAATGGAGCAGGCAAACCTTTTCTTTTACTAGTATAGGAAATCCAGAAAGTGAATGAAACAGTTTTTTTGTTGCCTGGCACTGAAAGGAATTAGTAAATAAAGGGTAAACTTTATTCTCAAATTAATTTTAGGAGAATATGCTCTTTTAGCTTGTCTTTTTCTGGTCTTGAGCCTTACTCTTACTGGTCAAATCAACAAGGCTTTCAGTTTAGAAATAGAAGAGACATCTTTTGCGATCAAAGCAGTTTTGTCAAGCTTCTGCAGTTAAAAACCCGGTTAAACCAAGTATTGTTCTGCATTGAAAGCATACTAAAGTTGGAATGATTCTGAAACAAATTATTTTGTAGGACAAAGACAATTAGTAGTATTAGAATAAGCCTCTACAATCCATACTATCCATTAATAGAAATAGTTTTCAGAATGTTTCTGTATCTCTCTTTGTTTTCTATAGCTGAATAGTCAAAAACTGTTAGAGAAGTTTTCAAAAGATATATTTAGCATAAATTGTAACTATAGAACTTCTAGAATTACATTAATGTGGAAACATCTAAAATGTTTAAGGAATCTTAAAAGATTTAGAAGCCATATTTGCTAAGATACAACCTGGCCTTCAGTCATGGTTGACTCTCTGTGAGAGCATTTTTGTATGTGTAGTAGTTAAAAGTAATTTTAAAAGATCAGTTGGAACTAAAATTTCCTTAGAGCTCTGAATTTCCTTAAACCATTACAACTGTTTATTTTTGATTTTTTTGTTAAGTGTTAATAAAACAGTTGTTTTATAAACATGTAAAAATTAAAAATAGCTGTACAAAATTTTAGAACCATGAGGGTAACTGAAAGTGAAATTTTACTAGAATGAAGGTAGTTGAACTCTGCGAGCCACACTATAAAACCATTTTATGGCCTGTGAGATTATTAGCCTTTGTTTCTCAGCTTTGAAGATGAAAAGTTAATCTCTTACTCTCATGCTTTGACTAAATTTTAGCAGTGTTCCTTGAAGTGTGCAAAAGAAATACAAGTGCATTTCTATTCATCTCATGACACTAAAAGCTCTTTAAAGGTGGAACTTTTTGTATATTAATATGAACTGATTTGTTTAAACTTCTTTATACATTTTCCTTTCAGATTTTTTTTATATTTTGTGTCACAATATGCAAATTATATTTAAGTGTTTATTTTATGACTATTAATATAAACTTTTTTTCTAGAATGACTGTAATATTTGTATTATGTGATCATTTGAAAACTAATAAATATTTTCTCCATAAAAAATGCAGTTACTGATAAATGGTTTATTTCTGTTTCAGGAGTAGAAAATGAAAACTGCAACAGTATTTTAAAGTGTATTTTAATATTATGTGTTTTCCTCTAAGTATTTCTGAACATTTATCTTGTCCTTGTGTATGTTAATCTTTTTTTGAGAAAAAAAAATATTTTAAACTGTAAAACGATGCTTCATTAGGTCACCAAGTGCCAAATGTGTGAAATAGAGAAACTACTCAGTCTGTTTTTACACTTTTCTGATTAGTGCCTTCTAGTTTTGAAGCTTTAATTTCAGAATTGGAGCTTTTTAAGATGCCCTTTTTTGTAGATCAGTTTTCAAAACATTAAACTCTTAAGTTAATATTATAAAGAGTTATGTGGTCAAATCTTTTAAAGTAAAACTGCTCAAAATATATAACCACTTAAAAAATAGCATACCAAAGGATTTCCTTTTCCCTAAAAAAAAATTTTTTTTGAAAATAATGACTGAAGAATTACCCAAGTCATCAGTGCTTTTAATTTGTATTTTCTGCTTAAACAAACAGTTCTTGCCTTAAGAATCTCTTGCTTTTAATCATCAAGACAATATAGAAAGGATAAAATCTGGTTTTAATGATTTTTTTGTCTATTGCTATATAAACTTAATAAAAGTCACTGGAACAATTTACCTTTTCTATACAGAATCAGCTAGAAGCAGGAGGATTTCACTTGATTTGAAGAAAAGTTATGCAAGAAATGGAATCCAAAAATTAAAAATAAGTATTGTGTCCTAAAATAGAAATAAAAGTTGAATTAATGGCAACATATGGGTTAAAATGAAATGATTTGGCTTGCCAGTGAAACTATACTCTTTGAAAACTAAGAATTTTAAATAAATGATTTAGAATAGCTACTGTATTTGAGGGGGTGGGTAAGGAAGCTAAAGTTTTCGGTCTTAATCTAAGTTAGGAAAAAATGAGTAAAGATTTTTTTTGACTAAATTATATTTTTGGAATTAAAACTATTTAAAATTTTATAGTTATAGCATTTCAATAGACGACTGTATTTTACTTGAATGCAAAAACTTTTGAGTTTTATATATCAGTATAAAAGGGTGGGATGTGTAAGAGGGAGAGAGAGGCGTTGTTAAATAAAACCACTGCACCAGAAACGTCAAACATTCTGTAAAAATATTGGTGAAATGAGTTTTAAATAATTAATTTTTATTACCTGGAGTCTTCTCTACACTTTCAATAGCTTCAAAGTAAAAATGCTACAAAGTGTTGAACTTTGCTTATCATGTCTTTGAGAGATAGGAACATAAGCTTATTTCACTTTTCACTCATTCAATTAACTATAGTGTAAAATTTTGTTCTTTAGTGAGAAAACAATTTTTAAAATATAGTTTAAAAATATTTTAAAAATATAGTTAAAGTAAATGTCACAGAAGTAGTGTGACTGCAAAGTACACTGACTTTATAGCTGATTATAAATATGTGCACATACTTTATTTTACTTTGCCATGTTGAAGCTATTGAACAAAATGTCACTGTTTAGATGTCCTAAGCAATTTTGTGCTTTTTGTTCAGATAATTATATTTAACCATTAAAAGGTTTCATATTTACTCCTAAAAGTGATTCATGTTTCAAAAATAAGCATGTAAATGTTTAAAATTTTTTCTGCTAATACATCTAAGGTAATTAGATAACTGTAGTAAAAGTGTTAGGGAACTTTGAAGTGTTCATCGGAGTTTTCAGGAATTATGATCAAAGGGATCTCTTCTCAAGAGGTAAGCTATGGCATAGGTAGAAAAAACATTCAAGGTTGTTCAATGTATTATTGAAGGAAGTAAACTACAACAGATAGTCTTGACTTTCAGATATATGTAAAATTAATAGAATACTTTTTCTTAAATATCTCTCCAGAGAAGAAAAAGGGATAAATCACAAATTTATTTCTGTAAAACTTTGGAATTCATTAGAAACATTGGCAGACAGTGTATTCTTCATATGCTTGGGTTATATGCCGAGGCTTCTCTTACCCTTTCTTTCTTAGTGTTTATGATCCTTATTTAATATTTCTTAGGCTCTGAGTATTTTAAAAATTCTATACTTTTGATGGAAAGTTGAGTATATATTTAATGAAATTATTGCCTGACTGTTTTTGCTATATATCCCCCTTTTTGTTAGACAACAACTAGGATTTAGTAGCTATACTGAATGCCACTTTGGTTTGAAAAAAATTCAAGTTTTGCAAACATTCACACTTGGGAATCTGTTATACTGATGATTAAAATATAGCATATAGAACTATACAGTCATTCTGAAAGGAAAGTCCTAAATCTTGCCATTAACTTTGTAAGGAATAGTGAGTAGTTTCACCAAGAGTAAAGTATAGCATAATATTTAACATATCTGGAAATAAAGGAAAAAGCAGTATTTCATACAGATGAACTATAAAAAGGATGGGAATTTTTTAAAATTACTAATGTAATTTACTCACTAGGTGGCAATTAGAAAACCAGTGCTTTACATAAGAACGCCAGTTCTTATAATTCTGAATTTACATTTGGAAAATAGTTTATACCTTTTTATATATGGATAACATGATAATATTGTGAACTAGTGATAGTCCTCACTACTAAATGGGGTTGCTGATTCTATGTTCAGCAAGAATTTGCTTCCATGTATTTTTGTAATTTGAAAATTACTTTAGATGTTACCTAATTTAGCACCCTCATTTTACAAGATAATTGCTAACCAGAATTAACCAGATATATTTCTAATACCATAATAACAGCCAAAATATCTGTAGGACTCAGCTCACATGACTGCAAGCTCAGAGATCTTAGACTTAGCTATACTTACTATTTCTCATAGTGATACTAATTCTGGACAACACAAAGCAAGTCTTATTCTCTTCAAGTCTGACAGCTTTTAGGTGATTTAAGATGGCTGTTAGATTTTATCAATTCCTATTTTACATTGTGTGTGTGTGTGTGTGTGTGTTTTTTCTCTACAGGTTGTTAAGCACCTGCACTCTTAGCTCTTACTTATATAGTCTAGATTAGAGATTTTCAAAATGTTTTGTAGATCTCTGAATATGCTTCAGTTTATCATTGTCACAATTTATTACATCAGTCCAACACAGTATAGCTATGGTCAGCCTCCTTTTGTTCCTGAAATTCTAATGCCACTTTGTACATCCATTAAAGTGCATAATTGTATGAATGTTGAGATTTCGCTTGAGCAGAAAAGTTGAGATTTACAAAGTAGTTTGTTTCTAAAAATTAGGCTAGCCTGTTCATGCAAAGACTTTACTGTTCAGTGGAAGAGAAAAATAATGACTCAAGTAGATGGGTAAGGTTTTGAGAAATCAGTAAAAGTACAGTTTCACTTATTTTGCTTGCTTAATCTTGATTCAAATAACTTAGTTCCATATTAAATTATTAGTATGATATAAAATGTTGATTTACAGGCTGTCCTTGGTTATGTGAGGATAGCCTGACCATCGGAGCTAAACCATTCACATGTCACTGTCGTTGAGAAGAAAATGAACTTGTCTTCAGTAACATAATGAAAATTAGAAATGAAAGGTAGTGCTTCAGTGGAAAAGGTTAGTTTGTATGCCAGACAGCAGAAGATGGTGAAAAAGTAGCCTGGAAGTCTGCAAAGGCAAACCTGGATTCTAATGCAAGTATAGTCTTGAGTTAACCCTTGAAATAAGTGGAAATGCTGTGCTTTGGCAACATTACTTTGGTGTACCAGCATTTTAAAATACCAGTTAATGTAAATTTTCCCCTTAATTTTTAAATTGAATTTTAGGGAGAAAAGGTATTTGGTAGTCTGTACCTCTCATGGTACCTCAGTTTGAGAAATATTGGTTATAGTGTTGGCTACCTTACCTGACAAATGAGGGACAGAGGAAGCAAACATTTCTGTGTCTATCATGTATACCTTTGGCTAGGTTATTTATTTAGATGTATTTCTTTAATTCAGATGACCTGTGAGAGAATTTTTCCATTTTATACAGATACAAAAGCACAAAAGCACATAATAAGCAACAAATAATGGAATTTGAAGGTTTCATATAAAATGACTAATGTAAAATGTTATTTTTCAGTTTGTCCTTGGTAATATAAGGATAGCCTGGACCACTGGCACCAAACTCTCTAAAGAATTGTATTGCACCATATGTTGCTACACATTCTGCCAAAAAAGTGCATATTTTCAGGGAAATTTCCATTTACAGTAGATAAATACTTTACTTGGTGTGTATTTTTAATCAACTTAAAAAAAAGATGTAAATTTGCAGAAAAATTGACCAGGAAGTACAGAAAGGTCTTTCCCATATACCATGTTTCCCTTCCATCTTGCCCCTATTGATCTCTTTTTTGTGTGATACATGTTTTTATAATAAATACATTTCATCAAAGTCCATACATTAGGATTTACTCTTGTATAGTTTTTGCTAAATATATGTGAGATGTCACAACAGCATCATACAGATAATTTGATAAATGTACAAGTGCTTAGTATTTTAAATAACCCTCCCTCCCTCCCTAACACTGGCAGTCACTGTTCTTTTTCTGTTCTGTGGTTTTGCCTTTACCACTATGTCATGTAGTTGGACATGTAGCCTTTCACTTAGTAATAGACAATGTCTTTCTGCTACTTGATAGCGTATTTACTTTTATGACTAGGCATCTGCTGTATAGATTATCACAATTTGTTTATTCATCTTTGAGAATATCTTGGTGGCTTCCAGTTTGGGGCATTTATGGATAAAGCTGCTATAAATATTTGTATGCAGGTTCTTGAGTGGACATTTTCAGCTATTTGGAAAAATGCCTAGTGCAATTGCTGGATTTTATGGTCCTAGCCTAGCTTTGTAAGAAACTACTGAACTGTTTTCCTCAA